CTCCCTGAGGTCTAGCTTAAGGAAATGTCATTGCATGTTTCTTCTAAGGGAATGTCTTTTTAAGAGAAATTTGATATTGAGTTTTGATATCAGACTCTTTTTTTTTTTTTTTTTTTTTTTTNTTTTTTTTTTTTTTTTTTTTTTTTTTTTAGCTCATTCCTATATATTTTTGTCTTGGGCTTCTTGCCATTGATTATTACCAAATACTCTGTGCAGCAATATCATTCTAGAGTGGTTTGTAGTTGATTTTTCAAAAGAAAATTAAATGTCTGGGTGTAATTCTTCTTACTGTTGTAGAAAATGGACTGAAAGCAAGAGGATGTAGAAAGATTAGGGATAACAATGGGTAAGAGAACGTTAACTTGAACTCCTGGTTTCCAAGCTCTCCTTGCGCCCGGTGAGACAGCGTTTGCAAATTCCCCAGCCAAGTGGTCTTGGAGAAGCAGAGGGCTTGTTGGGTGGATCTAGGAAACTGCATCCTGTGATGCTTCAAGACAAGCTTTGACAGTTCGAGGCACTGCAGGAAAAGATTAAAAATGGTAATAAAAAGGCATTTTGCAAAATGCAGACCTAATTGGAGGTGGTCGTTATGCCCCTGGCTGTGGTGGCGCTGTATGTGCTCAAAGCAGACTGGAAATGCTGACGCATCGAGATGTCCCTTTGCAAAGGGCAGTTAACAGAGGCCGGGGGCTTTGTAAGGACTTGTCGCTCAAAACCATGTCTGCCAGTGCTAGGAAAAATGCTTTTGAAATGGTGGAAGGTTCTTTGAGAGAGAGAAGGTTTCTATAACAATACAACCATTCTGTTTTACGCATTTGTGTGTTATATGAGTGGTATTCCAAATGAATATAGTGTTTGAATATAGTGTAGGGCTTTTCAGAGCCCTACTGTTAATATTTAAAGTTGGTATCATCAAGGATGCATCTTAAAGTGCAGTCTGAAGCGTCCCATTAATTTTTTTTTTGATTCTGACAGTTCCTTTTGATTTAAGACACATGTAGTAGTATTTGTTCATGTCCAACTTCTGCTTTGATTCCACATGAATTCATCTGTTTGTGTCTTTGTAGTAGTTACAGGTCAATGGGTTTTTAATCTACTACTCTAATACTGACTGCTCCCTCTCTGTGCATGCTTCTAGTGTTGCGCTTTTTGCAGCTTTCTCTTGCCTCATCAATCTACCACACTTGCTTATTTTTGCTCTTGTTACTAATTAATTTCATTATATCAATCTGTAGAAGATTTTCACTGTTTGCTTTTCTGTGATACTACTGCTGAAATAGCTAATGGCTCTGTTGGAGATTATTTATTTCCTCTGAGCATTGAAGGTTACACATTTACTGAGCTGGCATGTAACTTTGTAGCCTATATTTGTTACGTTGTCTTTCCTACTTTTTTTTTTTTTTTTTTTTAAAAAAAAGAATTAGCATAAACAACATAGAAATTTACCGGAAGGAACACAAAAGATAGTAACTGATTAAATGAAGTTAAAATGACAATTTCATATTTCAAATATGAAATAAGCACTGAGAAGCCTCTTGCTTCTCAAGTCCTCCCCAGTCAGTGATGTTTTTTTAAAATGTCATCCCTGTAATTTTTGTGTGCAGAGCACAAACCTGCAGATACTGACTTCGTAGTTGGCATCAGCTCCGTGAAGGGGCCCGTCCGCCCCGGCTTCCAGCTTCCCTGTGCGGGCAGCCCCGCGCACCTTGCCCAGTGTCCGTGAGGAGGCACTATGTGTTCTGCTGGAGGCAGCCCAAAGGTGCTCTTACGTCATACAGAGGATTCCTTTTTCGCTGATGATTTTAGAAATAAAAAATATTTTAACTTGGTTRAAGGCATCAAGGAAGCTCTAAATGGAAAGAGTAGATGTCACATATAAAGCTTTGAGTTTGCTGAGCAATGAGCATGATAAACACTGATTATTCATCTCAATGTTAGAGTTCAGAAACAATTGTCCCTTTAGTTTGCCTCGTGGGAGCATGAAATTAGGACCATGTGTGTGTGTTGATGAATAACATATGAAAGATGAATCGTGATTCCTGTTTTGGTCTGATGCACAAGGCTGTGCCTGAGGGGTAGCGATTTCCTACCTCCTTCACCAGATCTCTGTAATTAGTGCTAGCATATCTCTCTCTTTCCTAGTACTGATGTGCMTGGGGCTCCAGACAAGGCTTATTCACATTCATAAATTATCTTAATTAAAGTGCAGAGTTCCCAGAAAGAGAGAGGTACTTGAATATTGAGGTGAGTTGGGCTATTTGTAAAGACAGTTGTTCAGAAGACAGTTCTCATCACCACTATCACTTCTGATCTGCAAGGCAACATATGTAGTATAAGAAATTTAATGGATGCTACTTCTAGCTTGACTGGGAATATGAAGTGTTGTATGGTTTTGTTTAAAAGAAACAGGGAAWAGTTCAGCAATAAAAATTAAGCAGAATTTATGTTTCTTTCTGTTGTATTAACGCACTTATAGTTAAACTTGACTTWTGTTGGGAGCAAGGTTATGTCCTGAGTTTAAAATTTCTTTTAAGTTTTATTCCGAATGTGGAATCCCAGCTTCCTGCCTGCCTGRTGAATAATGACTGGGAACAATTATCATGAGTGCCTAAGTTGTTACCATTCATACAGGCCAGGTCCCGGAGAAAACATGAAAAAATACTTGTTGATTTTTACGCAATAGAGTCTCTGCCTTGAGTTATTTATATCTTTCCAATTTGAAAGATGAGTGTCCTTTTTGTACTTAAATAAAAGGAAATACCTGCATGTGTCTTGATTATCTCAGGGAGTTGCAAAGAGTTATGCTGCAGGAGGTGATGTGTATTGGCCTTCATAATTCTGCTGGTTTAGGATCTCTCAGAATCATTATCTTAACTATCCAAGCTGTGGATGTGAGTTAAGGAACATTCCCAACAATTGATTTCTGTGGTTTGAGATATGTCAGCTGGTAGAAGGATCTTTCTGGCTTGCTTGCCTGGTGTGAGATGGTGTTTTGGATCTTCARTATCTGCAGAGTTCCCCGCTTTGGACTCACATAGTGTGAGACCCTGGGGGGCTGGGGTGTGTGGGGGGGAAACTGCTTTTTACCAGAAAATAACAYTGTTTGTAATTTAGCTTTGTGCAGCTTTCAAATGTGGTTATCTGTTTAAATATCAGTGGGCTGTAGTTCTTAGAAATAAATGAATAAATAAAATTGGCTCTTTCTTGTCTGTATTGAAGTAAGGGGACCAAAGGGTTTTTACAGACAAGGCTCCAGGCAACAGAAACTTGCTTTCTAGCAAAGTTCAGAGTAAATTAAAAGCTGCTTGTAAACACTGGAAATGTTAGTGGTTAATTAACTAAGAATGTAGGACCCTGAGGCTGTACCATTAGTATTTATAGTCTTAAAGTAGGATGTTCTAAACAAATTGTCTAGCTATAAGCTAATTAAATAGCACAACTATTTGGCTTAAATATAAGGGAGTGTTTCCTGAAAAAGTATCTTCTTAAGCTTGCAGGAGTAAGTACTAGAAGGATTAGTACCGAAGTTGAGCATGATCAAATCAGCAGATTAATTTACAAATTTTAACTGATATGATAAATGTTTTGTTCAATTTGTTAAAATTATGGTGCTTCTCTACCAAATGGCTATAGTATTTCTGGACATTTTATACACTGAGAGCAAATTCTTTCAACCACTAAGTCGTTTTAGTGGAGTTTGGCTTTTTTCATCAATGTTATTAATGCGTGATTGCAGTATATTGATTTATACTTATGCTTTTATAATCTGTGTTGTCAGCAAAGAACTAATAAAAATTCAGTCAAAGAAAACAATGAAAAATGTTGCTGTTTGTGCATATATATACACACACATAAATACAAGATACACGAATAATACATATTTTGAGTTAAGACTTTTAAGTCTTTTATACCTTAGATTTTACTTAATGAAAACATTTATGTTAATTTTCAGTAATGTTAATTTTTAGGTGCGAATAAATCTGTATAAAATAATAGTTTCATGAAGGAATGACATAGGCACATATCAGAAACTAGATGCTGATAATCCCTAATAACAGTCTATTCCATGTATGCCTTGGGCGCGCAGATAGCCACACCATAGGTTTTATTTCCTGGTGTCACATCCTTCTGATCAGGCATTTGTGAGCGCTGGATGAAATTTGATTCAAGAAGAAAGGCCGAGGGGGCTGTGGTTGAATCCTGAGCATGCTGGAAGTGAGGTGGGTTTGTTGCCCAGCTGGCAAGGAGATGAACAGAGGCCTGCCTTTAGGCACCTGCCTGGAGCTCCTCCAGACGGGAGGAAACCCAACGAGCTGGCAGGGACTTGCTATTCACTTCTGCTCTTCCCATCATTGATCTTTGTCCCAAAAATGACCAAGGAAACWGAGCAAAGTTGCCATGGCCACAATGCTCAGTAGTGACGTTCCTTTTGGTTCCGATTCCTCATCTTCTTTGTCAAGATGAKCTGGGAGCAGCTCTGGACCAGCCCGACCTTCTCTTTTCTGTGCTTATTTGTCAGCCTTCAGCTTAGTGGCTTTGGGCTAGTTACGAGTGACATTCTGCCATGGCCTATTTGCCTGCAAGAACAGATTGGACTAATCTCCCAACCTTGACTAAAGGTGTGTTTTTGTACAGGCACCATTAACCTAGGTGGCAGAGGCTGAGAACTTCCTGTGAGTTTCTTTAAAAGATAAACTTCTGTGATCAGCGTTCACTGAGCAAGTCATACTGCTTAAGGCACAAATTCACTTCATAAAAATATTGTATTTAGACCTTTCTTTGTTTATGCTTGTGTGTTACATTCAGAAAGTCAACAGCAGGTGAGCGCTGTGCCTGTCTGCTCTGTCCTGGGCTGCGTTCAGGGTACGTGACTGCYGATATGTCAGAAGAGGAAAAATCGCAAATTCCGTTAACCTACAGAAAAAATTATAAAATAAAAGTCTACACAGATTCAAAAAATCCTATTTTATTCAAGTTGTTTTCCTGGTATTTCTCTGCAGGGCCTGTCACCAGTCACCAGGAACAATGGATTACTCAATATCACCTTTAAATATGACAGTAAGTTGAATATTTGCTACTATGTTTACTAAAATAAGGAGTCTGTCACAATTAGCRGTACCCTGTGCTCCTCTATTTCTATATTATCATCTGAATTTGGCCTCATTAATTATGAATGCATTTTAAAAAATCTAACCTAATATTAAACATAAAGAAAATGGGCTATTATTTCATAATTCATAAATCAGATTGTACAATGGATAACTGGTCACTACAGGGATGTTTTGATTTATTAGCTACATTTAAAAAAAAAGTCAGGAAATAGTATCAGTGAAGTTTAGTTAACACAGCAGAGCCTGCTTAAATCCTTTTTTTTTTTTTAATTTTTTTTTCTATTATTTCTGGCACTAACAACTGGGATTAAGCAGTGACAAGTGTTGATTCAAAACTCTGCTGGCACTGCATGCTTCTGGGACAAAAGAGTTGCTTAAATTCTGCAGGACTAGGGAAAGAGGTCCCTGATATCAAGACTAAAACATTTATATGTCTTGGAAATACTTACTGAGAGTAAAGAAGCCAGTACAAAAGAAAAGCAGCTTGCTGGCCGTGAATTAAAGGCTTTTTATTTCATCACAGAACAACTCTTGCAAACTTTTTTATGCTGTTAAATTATATGGTTAGGTTATTTATTCAGGTGAGAAGCAAATGTTTGTATGTTTTAGTGTTTCATTTGTAGTCAACTCAAAGAAGTAGTTTCCTGAAAAGTGTRTAAATTTTCCCTGCTGTTTTTTTCCAAAATCTGTTCTTCTTTAAAAATGTAAATYAATGACTCACAGTCAGACCTCAGACTTTTGTACTATATTGCATTTTGGCAAATTGTCATTTGACCATAAAACTTTAGTAAGTAGGATCCAAAATCTTGGGCTTGCTATTAATTAGATCCAGACCTTGCAAAAAGCTGTTACTTCAAACTTTCCGTTGAAAGAGATACTCTATCCTCCAAAGAGGAAGTTCATGCTGTCATTCAGTTCACTTGTAGCAAGAGGATTCTGCAAACAGTAAAGCCAGCACCAACTGCCCAGCTCTCATGAAAGGCAATGTGTAGTACAAACCGTTCTATTCTTTGCTGGGTGACACTTGCATAAAAGACCCCTTACCATTGCTATTCATAGTAAAAAGCAATTTTCTTTTTAGTTAATATTTTTCTTTCTTTTAAGAGCATGCCTTAGAATTTAAGACTAGTTTCCTGCATTACTTTATGTTAACTACTGATTTTTCATGTTTTATTTTAGAAACTCAGTATAAGCAAATCTATTGAATTTATCAGATTTTTTTGTTTGAATTAATCATCAGTCAATGTGATAATATATAGACAGTCAACTTTTTCAAATTTTGTCAGCATAGCTAGTTCAGAAGCTGAATATTTGTTCATGTGCCTGTAGACCATGCTCCAGGATATTGAATTTCTTTGCCACTGTTTCTTTTCCTGCTTTAAAATATCATCCTAGTAATAATTAAGCATTAAAAGTAATAAAACTTGGTGTTATTTGCATTTATTCCAAGATTTTCCAAGATTTTCCACAGAGCTGTGGCTTTAGGGAATACACTGATTTTTGTGAGGCCTAATGTTAGGATAACAAGTAGGGTAACAAAACAAAAGCAGTTCTGACTGGATTCACTGGAAGGAAAATAATCAGTGGGGAGTTGGTTAATGAAGGAATAACAGAGATGAGATGGATTTAGGAGAGTAAGTTCTTCGTGGCCAGGCTCAAGCTATACCTTTACATTTATGGTTAAAAAGCTTCCCTTGGCCATCAGTTCTAAGAGCTTCTCAGTGCTCATTGTGCACATATGTGCCTGATCACTGACCAGCGTCCTCTTGCTCCCCGCACTCTACATGCACAAAATAAACAGCAGTGCTTATATTCTTTGGAGTAATTGCTGAGAAAAATTGCTGCTGGGACTCCCAACATCTGTGGCATTTTACTTTTACTATGGTACAAGCCGAAATAGTATTATAATATAGTGATTGCAGTTCATGAACTAGGGTTTTGCAGTTGGTCAAATGGGTTGTGCTCAATGATTTTGAACAAACAATGAAGTTTTCAACTGTTTTTCATTATCCCATCACAAAAGCTTCGGTTTGGTTTACTGTGCAGTGTTTGTTTTTTATAGGATAAATAGTGTATGTGCTTTTCATTTGGCTCAGTCTTGAAGAGGTATGATGAAATTAAMATTTTTCTTTATTCACATGAAAAGATGTGGGATATATTAGAAATTAGTTGTTTGAACAGATCTCCTGGATAAGGTCCTGCTGGCAGAAAGTGAATTATGTGCTCTTGCATAGCACACGAATGCCAGGTAGTATGTCTGAAGTGTTTATTTCTCYGTGCTTTCAGATTGCACGCCGTATCTCAATGCCGTGGGAAAGCACGTCATCGGCGATGTGCAGAATATCACAATCAGTCAGTATTCGTGTTACGAACAGGTCGCAGTGACAATACTTTGGACGGCAAATACCATTGGTATGTACCTGAGAGAAATTAATCATTATCAACCTAAAACTAAACTGTTTTAATTAAAATAAATGATGCTAGGAAAGYGTGGAAGCAAAACTGCTTAAAATAAATTCTGAACAGCTTTGCAAAGCTGCTCTTTTTAATAGGTCATTTGATAGAGCCTGGAAGCTGGGGTGCTCCCTGGAGCACATGCTGCTTCTCACTGTTTCAGTTGGTTGGATTTCTCCCTCTGTTCAGTGTAGTCCACTTGCCCTGTATCATTTTCTCTCCCAAGGCTTTGGTGCGTTTTATTGGAATTGATTGAGTTCAACTGCTGAAATACCCATGAAGATTCTTTAGGCTGCAGATCGCCTTACAGGTGGAAGATGCTACTTAATCGGAGCTATGTTGAACTTAGATGTGGTCACTGAATTTTTCARTCTTACAAAGTGGTATTGCTGGCAGTACCTTGCTGCCCACTGGAGGGCACTCTGCCTGTACCAACCCCAGCCTCATCCTTTCTTTCTTGCATACTAGTAAAGGACCTGAAAAAAGTGAGTTAGTATAAGCTTATTTTCTATAGCAACTGAAGTCTAGCAAATGAAAGATGTGGAGTCTCTTTTTTGATTGTTATAATGCTTTATTAAATAATTTTCAAATACAAAGATGCTTTTCAATATCATTTAAATTATAATTTGATTTGAGCTCAAACTGACTTGAGCACAGTTTTAAAAATGAAAACAGAAAGCTGTTTGCTTCACGTCATTTTATTCATAGAGTAGAATCTTATCTTGGAATTTTCTAACTCATACTCCCTCAAAAAGATTTAAAAATSAGTTTTTCTTCCAGTTTTAAAAAACGTTAAACATTCTCATTGTTGTTCTAGGAACAGATCCTAAGTGAGGAGATTGATGATGAAAATATTTGTTTATTAAACTTAATTGACATTTTAGGATATATCTGTGTTTCTTAAAGAAAACACTTTAGAAAAGCAAGAGTTTTTAAGTTTTTGTGATCTCCCAATATTAAATCATGCTTTCATAATTTTATTCTGTAACATAAAATAATGATAAGTTATTGGATTTTAGGCGAGTATGTGGAAATTAAACTTGATACTTCCAGCTGCACAGTGTGGTTGATCTGGTAATCTACAGTTGCAGACGGCGTGAATCAGATCTCTGTGGGAAACAGTGTGGTGCTCTCTACTTTTATGAGCAGAGGTTAATCCTTCAGGAAGAGCCCACACAGAGCTGCTGCTGAAGCACCTGGGTGTCAAGGAGACTGGACACGTTCTCTTTCATGGAATATTAAGAACGCGTTGGGCAGCTCATGGTCTCTCTGTATAATGCAAGATGATAAAACAWTCAAGAACAACAACAAAAAAATTCCTTGTGAATTTTGTGAAAGATTTAAGACTTTTCTAAATTGACAAGCATACTATAAAGTTAATTCATTTTGATTTATCTAGTATTTAGCTTACAAAGATTGTGCCTTTGCCCTTGCTAAATATGTATTCSAGCACTTGTAATGCTGTTGAAAATTTATAATTGGATGGAGTAGTGGTAGATAATTTTGAAGAACTGGGCAGCAACTTTAATACATGAGTCACATAACTATAACAGCTTAACACTGTGCCGTGACATTGGCATCAGCATGGCACAGTGTAATGAGGTAATGCAGTCATGCCATGATGAGAACGTTGCAAAGAAATGTAAAGAAACCATGCTGAGTCTCTATTGTGTTAGACAAAATGGGTGTAGTTTTGGCGTTACACATTAATAACTGGAAATATTCACTCAGTAGAATAAATTCCATTCCATTTATGTCAATTTTTCTGTTATTCCGCTCCTGGATCCTGTAGAGCTAAAGAAATCATAACAATTGCTATCACTTTAATCCAATAGTGTCGTAAATGATATAAATGTTATAAAAGAGTGTTCTTATCCTAGCAAAATGTCGTTAGATTGCTAATAATGGGAATGCGAAGTTACTATAATGTAATACTAGAGGCGCTGATGGAGGCAGTGATTATTTCTATTGCAATGGTAATTTGAAGGGCCCATCTGGACTGTTCACAGACTGTTCACAGTCCACAGACTTTTGGCCTGTCTACTCTGTGTTGCATGAGTTTATAGTAATTACTGCCCTTTGCCAAAGAGTTCTAGATAGACATGATAGTAGATATCATAGCATGCATTTTGAAATACTAGTCTTCTATTTAATGCTCTGATGTTTGCAGGAATTGAAAACCTAAAAGGATTTCGAGTAATACTTGAGGAGTTAAAATCAGAGGGAAGACAATGTCAGCAGATGGTTTTAAAAGATCCAAAGCAACTCAGCTCCAGTTTTAAAAAAACAGTAAGTGCTCTGTTTCTCTAAGTATTTCGTTGTTGCTTGACTCAAAGAATCACACAGAATGGCTGAGGTTGGAAGGGACCTCTAGAGATCATCTAGGCTAGGCCCTTGCTTAGGCAGGGACAACCAGAGTAAGTGGCACAGGGAGGCATCCAGGCAGGTTTGGAAGATCTCCGGAGGAGGAGACTCCACARCCTCTCCGGGCAGCCTGTTCCAGGGCTCTGTCACCCTCACAGGAAAGAAGTTCTTCCTCACATGGAGATGGAACTTCTGTTGTTTCGATTTGTGCCCATTGCTCCTTGTTCTGTCACTGGCCGCCACCAAGAAGAGTTTGGCCCCCTGCTCTTTACCTTCTYACCTCAGGGGATCATATATTGATCAGATCCCCTCTCAAACTTCCCTTCTCCAGGCTATACATTGTGTGAGTAGTTTTTAAATTGTCTATATGCTTTGTTTAAAAATGTCTGAATATATAATACATAGTATGTGTGTATAGTGATACGTATATTATCATATTTTTCCTCTCTATGTAATATATAAGAAAATAGTCTTAAATAGATATATATTTAATGTGCTATTTACAGGAGAGCAATTTGCTTCCTAATATTATCAGTCTTTAAACTAATGGCAGTTGTTAATATGGGGATAAATCTATCTGCCTAAAGAGAACCTTTCCTGATGCAGGATAAAATTGCATTGGGTGATGGTGCAGCACAGGTGGTTGTGTGTGATGGTCCATATCCCACATTTGTGTGATGCTTCCATGTGTCAACAGGTAGTAGAAGAATAGACCAAGGATTCTTAATATATTAATTTCTGTTCATGTCTGTAAGAACAAGGGGCATATTTTGAAAGAATACACCCTCAGTTACAATAATCATTTTAAAAAGTAACTTATCTTTTTATAGGGAATGGAATCTCAGCCTTTTGTAAACCTGAAATTTGAAACAGATTACTTTATAAAGATTGTTCCTTTTCCTTCCATTAAAAACGAAAGCAACTATCACCCATTTTTCTTCCGAACTCGACGTAAGTACTACGTATGATATGACATAACATTAAATGAAATAAGAGTCTTACTTAAGATAACTATGGACATCATCTTTAAATTGGGATTTGTACCCATTTTGAGTGTTAAGTGGACTGATTTTGGATGCCACATCTTAATTTATGGTGTAGAAAAATCTATGCTATCCAACAATCAGAAGAGTGTCAGGTCAGACCTGAGACTAGTCCAGGTCTACCTAGAGCATAACTGCTCACATTTTGCTTGGAAAAGTTCAGCTTATAAAAGTGGTTCGTCATTTTCCTTCTCCTTGCTGAACATTGTGAATAAGCTCAAATTTTGTTTTGCTTATCTGGAGCTAGATGAGTGTATATATAGCAACAATTCAAGTAGAATTCTTCAATATCATTGAACAATTAACAACTCTAAATAGAGGTAGGAGAAGAAAGGAAGGAAAAGAAAGGAGCATGAATATGGTCTTGTACGTAGGTGCTTAAAACAGCATGAAGAAAAGCTAACAGTAGGTGAAATGTTGACATTGTTCTGCATGGACTTTTTTACTTTCTAATTTTCCTTAGAATATTTTCAAGCCTGTCCACTSATACTGACAAAAGTAATGCCTGCCCTAATAATAATACATTTACTTTTGAGTATATGTGTTTGTTAAGCCCAATGTTGACTTTCTCCCTTGCTAAGTTGTGGCAGATGCTGTCCGTTTTATGGTACTAACATATACTGTTTTCAAATAAATGACCTTATATTTCTCGTATAGAGATGAGAACAAACTTGAACTATAACAAAGTAAACGACTGTAAAAAAGTAGCTAAGTGTATATTCATTCCGTGCATAGTAGAGGCTGGAGAAGTGGGGATGCTGTCTTCAAAAGGATGAAATAGCCTCCTTTTTTTCTGACCTCTTTTTTTTCCTGTTTGTATAGCATGGCATTTGACTGTATCATTAATAATTTTTGTGTCTGTTTGTAGCATGTGAATTGCTTCTACAGCCGGAAAACCTTGTCTGCAAACCTTGTAAGTAAAGTGTCATACTTTCCATATGTTTGTCTTATAAAAACAAGTTATTGTTCTTGAAAGAACACTTGTTAATTCATAAATATCTCCTCTGACAGACTGGAAGCCAAGGAATCTGAATGTTACCCAGCAAGGCTTTAACATGCAAGTGTCTTTTGATCATGCACCGCACAACTTTGGGTTTAGATATTACTTTCTTCACTACAAGCTTAAGCATGAAGGACCATTTAAGCAGAAGACCTGCAAACAGGTATGTCACTGAGTTTTGCCACTTTTAGGAGCACAAAAACCATTAGCATAGATGTCCTAAGGTTTTATGGAAACTTTTAACAAGCTGTTAGAGTTCTCTCAGATTTAAAACTTTGAGCTGTGCTGTTGATCTTTCTGTAGGTAGTTTTTGTATTGTGGTAAGACTTACCAGGCAAAGCCAAACCTGTGGTATTCATGGATGCTGGGATATTACAGGCAAATGAGAGTTCTCCCTCTTAAAGACCCTACTACTAATTACTAATTTAAAATACAGTTTTATTATGCTTGCAATAAAAATTCTTTCTTATTTTGTTTGCAGCTTTGCACTGAACTTCATCACTTTACAAATTACCCAAATTATCTTATTACAAATAAAGTATTATCTCAAGACAGCTCATTTTTAGTATGTCCATGGAGCTAGGCCATTCTAAGTGTGGAAGTTACTAAGCGTTTTCACTCATCCTAGGGTATTTCTTCTTATAGACAATGTAAGCTGTGGAAGAATTCAACTGTCAGGCTTTGGGATTCATTCGTCATTAGCCTATTATCTTATAAAAATGAACTATAAAAATGTGTGCAGAACTAAAATACTGAAATTTGCATTGCTTCCCAGTGATTTCACTTGCACATCAAATATGAAATATTTAGAGTTTGTTAGCCAAGGCTGCATTCAAATTTGAGGTCATTAGTTAAAATCTACTTGTGGTACTGTGTCTATCATTTTGAGCTTCAAATTGGTATATTGTTTCCCCTAATTTTGTTGTTATTTCCCGTGAATGATGGCTAGTTTGTTGTCAGTTGTCAAACTTTGATATTAAGTGTCTGAAGGACAGGGAGCCTCAGGCCATGGTGTAGAGTTTATATATTAGACCAAAGTTCTAAGAAGCTTTTGAATAATCAGTTGTATTTGAGTTGTGCAGGCAGAGGATTGTATTCCTTGGAGATCTAAATAAAAGTCTTAGTTTTACTGGTATAAGGTGTCCTGGTACAGGAGAGCAGTATACATTTCTAACTAAGTAGTGAAGTGAATGCATTGTTATTAGGTTTTGAAAGTATGTGAATTGCTTGCAAAATATTATCTCCTTTTTATATAGGAGCAAAATACAGATACTACAAGTTGCCTTCTTCAGAATGTATCTCCGGGGGATTATATAATTGAGGTAATATTTACAAATATTTTGTACAACAGCTAATTAAGTATATTGATGAGGAATTAATTGAAATTAGAAATTCTTAAGGCAAAATACTGGATACAATTGGAGCAATTAAAAATAAATTGTGTACCAACAAGGAAAGCTATCTGCATTAGTTACAATTAAGGAGCACTAAATAGGTAACTTTTTGAATAAATTTCTTCATGTAAATGCTGTTACAGTTGTTTTCATTTGCAGAAAAATATTTTTTCATGAAGTAAATAAAATTTCCACAAAATAACCTTCAACTTTTACTTTTCAAAGCTCGTGGATGACACTAACACAACAAGGAAAACAATGCATTATGCACTAAAACCAGGTATTTTTTTTAACAGTATACAGTTTTTATGTATTTAGATACAATCTTAATTGTATTGGAAATGTTGATTTGACACATGCCTATTTGCCACAGTCAAGATTATTGAAACTTAGCTGTACTTCTATATGCATTTCTACTGTGATCTCATGCATACTCCTGCATATACATCTACATATTTATATGTTTATATTTAGTGTAGTTTAGATCAATATACAGTTGAAAATCTTTGTAGGAAAGTCATTTTTGTTGTATACATGGATATGTCATACTTTGTATTTTAATTGCATGCAAATAATGCATGTGGTTTTGTGGAAATAATATAATGCAACTATGTGAGCAGCCTAAGCCTAACCTGACTGCAAGGAAATTAAATTTAAGCAGTCAGGGAAAAGCCTGTCAGGTGAATGCTCAGCATCTCTCTATATCTGACCAGATGCTGAGAATCGAACTAAGGATTTCAAAACATAGGTGTAGAAACATAGCCACAGATGAAGACACTGGACAAGATGGATTGATTTTTAATTCATGTTTATAACCTGTGCAGAAGACAGTGCTGTCTAAATGGCTAGTGAAATATTCTAGAAATCCAACAGGACCAGGTTACTATTGGAATTCTTATCAAAACTATACTTCATGTAAAGCTCTTTTCATTTGGAGTTAGAGTCTGAGCTGAAATAAGTACCAAGCTGAAAAGTACCAAGTAAGCACTTGGTACTTACTCTAGTCATTCTGATGCTATAGTGATGCAGACAAACAACATAAAATCTTTGTGAAGTTAAGCACAGCATAATGATGTTTGCTTCTACTGTATGTTTGCGAGTTAACAGGTAATAGTTTACTGCAGCAGTTTTCCATTCCTATGGTGAAGATATGATTGAATAATGATAATATATCTTATTTACATAGGCTAATTCTGCTTTGTTTTTCAAAGTACATTCTCCCTGGGCTGGACCAATAAGAGCTATTGCCATTACCGTCCCCTTAGTCGTCATTTCAGCGTTTGCAACGCTTTTCACAGTGATGTGCCGCAAGAAGCAGCAAGGTAGASTGTTTATCCAATGTAGAGTTTCACTTAAAGGAGCACTTTTGCACTCAATAATGCCTTAACTCATAGAATTGTTAAAGAAAGCTCTTTATTTGAAGACCTTTCTTTTTCAACTTTCTTCCCTTCTCACACAGAATACAAGTGGATCTCTAAATTGATATATTTTCAACATTCTCTTATTTAATGTAAATATGTTAATTCATATTTATTTTATATCAGAAAGAAAATAAAACCATATATGTCAGACCAGTGTAGTTCTCAGCACTGTCTGGAATGTTCCCCCCGTTATTCCAGATTTGTTCACTTTCCTGGAAGTTGCCTTTAAACTTCATCCTAAGCCTGCTCCCAAAATTTATTCTTCCTAAAACTTGCTTGCAGATGTTTCTCTAAGTTAGATTCCATCTCTGTCTGCCGACTTCTCTCTCCTCTGTGTCCAGGAGCTGGCAAGCTGCACTGAGATGTTAAAAATCTAGTGGCTTTTTTATTTTTTTCTGTAGCATCTTGGGAATTGTGTGGTTTCACGACTATGGAAAAAGAGATTACATTCCCTAAACCTCTCATGTCTGTATTCTCCATCTGAATTTTGGAAGCAAAGTGTACTGCAAGTGCTGCATGCCATCTGGGTTAAATGCTTTTACCTTCTGGCCTTCTGTGGCGGTCCCCCAGCACACAGCTAGCACAGTTACTTCAGACAGCGACTGAAGATTTGTCTACGGAGAGATTTGTTCCAGCGTAGTTATTCATGATGAATTGTTCTAAAATAAATCCCTAGAGGGATGCTCGTATTTTGAGATGCTCATGCTTTATTCCAAATTAGTTTAATCAACTGTAGAACTAGATTGAATTATTTTGGCACTAGACAGTCCTGTTCTGGCATAAAAGCATCGATGCAAAGGAAGAAACACATATAGCTGTTTTGACTTAAATTAATCCTTTCTCAATTCAAATTAACACTGAAAATGTACCTCATACTACATGATATTCTGAAGGTGTATGTTTTTCTGCAAGTTAGTATTCTTAGTTTTCTCGTGTCACTGCTTTAAAAAAGAGACTTTGTCTTTGTTAATCAGGAAACTTGATAATATATCTATAAAGCCGATATTTTTTGAATAGAAAAATGATCATTAAAGCTGCATGGAGGTGAAGCAGCCTCATTCTGTTTATAAATTAAACCATTTCTGAGAGTGCTGTAGGTTGTACAGTATTAACTACACATCTCTCTTTCCAAGTATGTTCCACATATGTTGCAGCTGAGAAGCTGGGAAATAGCAAGTGGCACAGCTTACACTTTTTAGGATAGGAAAGAAAAGGAATATCTTTTAAATAAAATCTTCACTGTATGTTTAAGTAATGAGACAAAACAAAGGTTTAAGAATATGACCTTTTATGGTGTGAACTCTCTTTCCTCCAATTTAGAAAATATATATTCCCATCTAGATGAGGAGAGTTCGGAATCTTCAGCGTATGCTGCAGTGCTCCATGTGGAAAGACTTCGTCCCCGGCCAAAAGTGTTCATCTGCTATTCCAATAAAGATTGCCAGAAACATATTAATGTCATCCAATGCTTTGCTTATTTTCTACAGGACTTTTGTGGCTGTGAGGTAAACTCAACATTTCTTCTCTAAACAAGTAGAGTTGCCTTAATTAAAACAGTGTCCCCTCAAAAATCATAATAATGTGTGTTTGAAAATGGAGTATTTCATTCTCACTTTTCCACGGTGAATAATTTTAATTATCCTCCTACATATTACCTACATAAATTTTCTTCAGTTTGGGAAAGGAACAAATCATAACCTGTGTAAATGAAAAATGGAAAATTTGTGGAAAACTGCATTGCTTCCAGTACTCTCAGTTGGTCATATGTACCTTGCTTTGTATTAACTACTTGTTCTGTTTAGTACGACTAGTGTCTTTATGGTCTGCCATCACAGAGAGATACTATAGTTTACCTAATCTGTTTCAGTATTCCTAAAATACCTTTTAAACTGTAACTGTGAAATGGTGGTACCAGACATATGAACACTTGAATCTATCATAAATCCTATTCRCACAAGAAAATCTACCTCATTAGGGAGACATTATTGACATTTGATATTGTCACTGTTGAATGTTTTCTTCTCTTTCTGCTCCTTTGCTGCTATAAAATCTGCATTTTTTATCTTGTTTTTGATTCAAAGTTTGTTTTTGATTCAAAACATCAAAATTTCCACTTGAAAGACTAGGCTCAGATTCTGACTCAGAATCTGGATGCTCTCTTAAGTATAGTCAAAATGTGGGAGGTCATTCACTTCTCACTTGTAAAACAGCAAGACAATTATTAGCATATTTTTGTTGCACTTCAGTCTTATCACTTTGATTCTCTATGTGTGAATCAAAAATGTTTTTGCAATTATACAACAAGTCTGACCCCTACCGGCTGCACACATGAGACAAAATAATTGATGCATCACATAATTGGAGATGGTCACAAATATATTTATATGCTTAAAATGGTTCAAGTAAGGTATTTTCTAAGTAATATCCTTGAACAGCTTTTTCTGTTACGTGCTTTAGCACTGCCATACCAGACCTCTTTGGAATAGTGTTATGGTTGCCACTATACATCTGTGAGCTGTATCCATAAGGTGTAGGACATAATTTATGTTTATGATCAGTTGTATAAATCATTAATAACAACTGTATAGGGAACATAGGGAAATAATGCATATTATTATTAAAGTTAGAAGAGATTAATACAAAAAGCCAAGCTCAATGTATAACAGAAAAGGTATGTTTGACAGATAGAATCAAATTATTGTCTTATCAAGACAAAAGCAATAGCATGTAATAAAAAATTGAAATAAAAACCTGTCCATACTGAAACTCCTTTCTCATGGACTATTATTCAGACAGTATTTTGAAAAACAGAAACAATATTTTGAAAGTCTTGATAAATGCCCACATTATACCTTTATCAGTATCATAAGTATCTGTAAAATGACATTTTCTTCCCCATGCACCTTTATTTTTCCTGTGCTTGTCTCTGCCATTACAATTTTTATCAATTCTTACATGCTAAGCGTTAAGCTATGCTGTGACTTGAGACAGGATAAAGTTTTCTGCTGTGTTATGAGACAGATAACAGAGGAAAAAAAGGTATTCTGTTCTCTGGAATAATGCTAGGTTTCAGTTTTGCTTTGTGCCCATTCTGAAAGCTCTTTTCTTATGTTTTGTTTGTTTATCCTATAACTCATTCTTTCTTTCAGAGACAAGCTATAATTAGACCTATTACTAATTCTGAATTTTCTGATGAATACCATCAGCTCGCTAAGATTATATCTAACCATATAACCTAATAATAAATATCAACCAATACATTCTTTTCTTTTTCAGGTGGCTCTAGATTTATGGGAAGATGTAAAATTTTGTAAGGAAAGGCAGAAAGAGTGGCTTATTAACAAAATAAATGAGTCCCAATTTATCATCATTGTGTGTTCCAAAGGAATGAAATACTTCATTGAGAAGAACTGGAAACACAGAGTGGTAACCAAAGATGCAGGGAAAGGGGAACTCTTTCTGTTTGCTGTGTCAGCTGTTGCTGAGAAGCTTCGTCGGGCAAAGCAGAATTCAAATGACCTCTGCAAGTTCATTGCAGTCTACTTTGATTACTCCTGTGAAGGAGACATCCCTGGTATTCTGGATCTAAGCACAAAATACAAACTTATGGATGATCTCCCTCAGCTTTATTCACATTTACACTCCAGAGATCTTAACCCACAGGATTCAGAGCTGTTTCCTGTGAATATTAGTAAAAGGAATTATTTCAGGAGCAAATCTGGACGGTCCCTTTATGTTGCTATTTGTAATATGCATCAGTTCATTGATCAGGAGCCAGATTGGTTTGAGAAACAGTTTATTCCTTTTCCTCCATCTCCTCTACATTACTCAAAGCCTATTATGGAAAAATTTGACTCTGGCTTGGTTTTAAATGACTTGGTGAGTAAACAGATGTCAGATGGTGATTTTTACCTGAGAACAGATGGAAATATTATTTCAGCTGTAAATTCAGACTCTCACTGTATAATTCAGCACTTAAACCTTGGAGAAGAAACTCAGGACATTCAAGGTGCCAACTCTGTTCTTCAGCCATTGCTACATGTTGTTAAAGCTTCCAATCTTACAGATATGCCTCGAGATTCTGGAATCTACGATTCTTCTGTTCCTTCGTCAGAGTTATCTTTACCTTTAATGGAAGGACTGTTGGCAGACCAAATGGAAACATCTTCCATTACAGAAAGTGTTTCTTCATCATCAGGTTTAGGTGAGAAGCATCAGTCTCTTTTAAAATTATATTTACTTGTTGTGGGCGTATTTCTAATGTCTCAAAATATTTAAAATACTATATAAGGAGTCATATAAAAAGATGCAGAAGAGACCATCAGATGCAGATGCAAAAGATGCAGACCATCAAGAYGGTAAAAGTAAGATAAGTTTTCAGTAACTTTAGAAAAACGTATCTTTCCCTTAGCTGATTATGAGGCAATCTCTAGCTAAATAATCGTTCTTAAAATTATATTAATTAGTCACATCTCGTTACTGGGGAGACTGTTTCTCTTTTTGGAGTGACTTTTTGGCAGCTGAGCTGCTCGGATGACAGCTGTGTGATTGATTGGGAAGCAATATGGCGCAGCATTCTTATAGAAAGTCTAAAATTGACAACCTATTTTGGTCCAATATGTAGTAGACCGTTTAAGGATATAGTTTGTACCATGGTGAACTCAGGGTTCAGAATCACGTTAGGCCTCCCATTGGATATGGRCATGGGAGGAATGAACTCAAGGGTTTCAGTGGAGGAATTCAAATGCTCTCAAGACCCTCCCCAAAATAGATACCCAGATTAGATGCTTACAGCTAGATGGTGTAAGTGTTCCCTTAGCTAAACAGCTGATCTGACCTTACTCGTTGCAAAACACTAAGCTGACATCACAACCAAAGCAAGAAGGAATGTTCCAGCAATTGTATTTATAGTTATCAAAATGCCATTGGCTGAGATCTTCCCTAAGCAGCTACAACAGGTGAATATTACACTTTGGTAATATATCGCTATGTTTTCTTTAGTGATTGCTAAGAGAATGAGATGTCTTTCTCATCTTCTCTCTTTCCTAAATGTATCTTTTATTAAACAATAATTACTAGGTAATATTTGATGTCAAATTTATCTTAGGGAGGGAATAGATAGATAAAGCATCCAGTCTTTATGGGAATGTAACTATTTTTTTTCCTCTGTAGAAATAATATAGTTTTAATCATTTAATTCAATAAGTAATAAATATCCAGTTATTGTTTGAAAATTCCTATTATATTAATTTTCTCCCCCATCTTCCAACTCACCCTTTTCTTGCAGTTGTGGGAAACCATACAGAGTATGTCTGTAAGGTCTGAGTATGTATTGGACAAAGGTAGGATGTCAGTTTTAGATTTGTGGCCTCCCTGTAAGAATGCTGCGCCAGTTTTCCCCTCCTGATTCAGTTGCGGAACTGGCAGCTGAGTATTCCAGCTGCCAAGGAGTCCCTGGAAGAAAGAGGCAGTTTCTCAAGTGATTTATTCTCAAGTCACGTACCTACTTGTTAACGTATCTCAAGTATAGAAAGTAAAAAATGTAACACTAGCTGGTAGAGGTGAACCTTAACATTGATGTATCAACTGTCAGAGAAACCTGCAGTAACTGGTGTGATTTTCCCAGTTACCATCCCAGTCCAAAAGTCCTGATCTTTCTAGGCTGAGTCTTATTCAAAGGTTGTCTTGTGATTACTCAAATCACAGTCCTAATTAGATATTGGGTAGAAAAGAGGCAGCATCCAGAACTGCATCATCTGCCTGTTGCATAAATTGTAACTTGTTAAATCTTCTACTGTTCCAGTTATACAAAATAGTGATACCCACAGCACTTGTATACCTTATAACAGAACAAATAARTAAAATATGGTAGCTTGTATTCTTTTTCTGAGAATTGTATGTATCTAAATTATTGCTCTGAATTCAGYGTAAAATGTTATTTCTATTTATGTTCTGGCTACCCATTTTTCATCTATTCCTTGGTCAAGAAAGGCATGAATAACTCTTATTCTGCAGTGAACATCTCAGGGCAGGCCTATCCTTTTCTCTTTACAGGACAGTTTGCTTTTGTATTTTGAATTAAACTAATCATATAATTTGCAGCACTCTTTATCTTTCAATGAAGTTCGTATACAGATTACTGATCCACAAAGAGGATTTTCTGAGATCATCAAATTGGGCACAACCCTCTTAAGTTCAAACAAGTATRACATTGAGGAAGTCATACACTTGAACCTTTAATAGGTCCATTTACTTTAATAGGTCCGTTAGGRTTTTCTACAAGTAGACCTGTTGGAGGAAAAAACTTGTATTAATCCTCTAATTAGGGAGTTACTGAATATGGTCATTTAGCCCCAGGAATAAGACATGAAGCACRGAGTTTTCACAAGATTTCTTTTGCACCGTTTCTAGAATGTTGAACAAGTTGAAAAATAATTTTCTAACCACTGAACCTCTCWTCATTTTTTCTTTTTAGGGGAAGAAGAACCTCCTGTAATCACTGCCACAAAATTTTTAGTGCCTGGAATATACAAAGCAGAACTTCATTGCCATRTCCATACTGATGAACTGCAGGCAATTGCACCTTTGTAATATGTTACCACATTGTTATGCATTGCCACTTTATCAACAGCCTCTGTTTGTGCTTTAACTACCACACTTTCCCAGCACTAAACCTTCTTGAAGGAACAAATATACCCCAAAAAAACTGCCATTCCTAAGAGATTTATATGKCAAGCAAACTTGAACCTCTCAGTCTTTGTTATATCAAGTCTTTCATGAGCTGAAAAGTACAGCATGGAAAAATATACTTAAAAAAAWWWWTTYTAACTTAAGTTTCACACTCATATTATRCTGTTTACAGATGCCAGAATCAAAAAATCCCTTTTTCTTCTAGAAATAATCTTGCAGGTAAACAAAAAAAATGCTTGGACCGTTAAGTCTTAATAATTTTTCCTGCTCAGGCTCTGATTTTAAGTGCTGACATAATTGGTGGCAGGATATTTTAGTGAATGAGCAGCAAGGCTTTTTTTTTTCAGTGTCACCATAAAATGCCAAATGTGAGATAACATGATTCTCCATCAGGAGAATTCCARTTTTTTTAAGAATATTTGAGCTCTTTTTCTCACACTCTCCTCTTCGTTAAATGTTAACATGTTTCATTTTAGTTTTAGGCAAAAGCATTTATCTTCATGAAGTATGATTCTCCTCCATAATTTAGCTATGATGACTCACAAGTAATAGGAAATTGATTCTGAAAGTATCGATTTTATAATAGAAAAAAATCATATATACGCTGACTGATACCACGGAAACTGTTTCCTATTTTTTTCCTGGAAGAGTTGGTATGAAGACTGCTTCAAAGAGGTGGGGGAGAGAACCTCAAATTTCCTATTTGTTCAGGATGCCATTTTGTCTCAATACAGCCTGGAGAGGAGTATGCTGTGTGGGGAATTTGTATTATCCTTCAAGGACATGCTGCTACAAATTTATCTGGGTTAAAACATGGTAAGACAAGCAGATAAGCTACAGTAGTGTTTCAGCTCATGCTGATCAACCACTAAAGAGAAGCCTATGAGTTATTTTGAAGTTCTCAGTATGTACCATTACTTAGTCATTAAGATAGCATAATATTACTAGGGTTATATTAACAAAGAGGGCTAAAAAGGGAATTGATTATCTAAAGACAGGGAGCATGGGTGAGTGCTTTCTTCTGCAGAGACAATATAAGTTTATCCTCATCCAAAGTAACATTGCTGTTTTCAAAGAGTAACTTCATCAGTAAAACTCATCTGTGTAACTGCAATTCCAGGTACTATTTTAACATATATGGTAATAGAAAATAATAAAAGGCACCTTGTGAATGTGCCTTGGCTACATYTGTTGATGGAGTCAGATTCTGTCTCTTGTTCCCTCTGTCCTTGTATTGCCCTAGCAGAAGGTTACTTTAGAAGCACGCCAGAATTCAAGCAACTCAGATGATATGTCCATGTTGTTAGACTAGAATTAAGACATTAGTAATTGTTACGATTTATTATACATTTTAATAGCACAAGCTAGAACTATTAAACCAGGGTTGATTACAAAATTGTGGTAATTTTACATTTCCATTGCTGTCAAATCCCTTTTTGTATTTGGGGGGTTGAAGTTCTGCCTTTTCCTCATTGAGTCGCTATAAAATCCCTGTGTTTTTTTGCAGTCAGTTTATATTTAATCATATGAATGTCCAAACAACAGACTCTCTTGAAATTGCTGATGTCACAGATGCATTAAGAAAGGTCTGCACAGCTTTCATGCATAAAATAAAACACTTATTTGAGTGCAGCCATTGAAGGCAGAACTCCAGCATGTTTTGTAATTATAAGGTAGAATTGTATTATGATGAGGTGTTGCATTTGGAAGGCGGTCTTCACTGGTATAATGTTCTGTACTGTTCTGTTTCCTGAACTTGAAAGAACAGCAATTTGAAATCTGTAAACTCAGAATATCTAAGTTAGTTTAGGTAATTTTCACTATGCAGTGAATTATCTGCATCTTCAATAATGCTTTCTTTATTATCATGCCTTGAGCAGTATGGAAAGCATAATTCTTTTTTCCCCTACTTGAAAGTTGAAAAATACCTGGGTCAAACAAGGCAGAATAATTTAGAGGTAAAAGCTACTTTACTAAATCCAGCTATCCTACCAGTGTAGGATCTTGATTCAGTGCAATTTTTACAGTTTTACTAGAGAAAGAGTTTGAATTTGGAAACACGCAGAGGGTTTAGCTGCTGTCCACAGAAATGCCCAAGCTGCAATTCATAAGGACCAAGAGGTAGATTGAGACAGTTTCTTAGCAATTAGATGGTGAAGTTAATGCTGATTTCTTCAGTGGAAAATCCCAGCTCACATACTATTATTTTATGCTCAGCTGAAGGTTAGGAAGAATTCCTGGTTCTATAAATTTCAGTAGCAAAATTTAAATTATTTAATGGGGTTAATATTTCCATTTGAATTGTAAGGAAATTTAGTTTCGAAGATGGACAAAGAGTCAATTCCTGTTAATGATTTTTTTTAAATTTGCTGTACAATCCTGCAAGTTGTTGTACAATTATGAAAGATCTATGCAGATGCCAACCAAATATGTTCTTAGCATAAGGTAGAAATGGTACATTATACATCCTTGAAAGGAAAAAAAAACCACCAAACATATCATTAATTGCAAAGTTAGAGTAGGATAAGCCCAAATTTTAAAAATACACAGAACTGAGAAAAAAATAATACTTATTTGTTTTTTTTATAAAGCCACAATACTTTATAAAATAAGAAAAATATTATGTGTATTTAGAATAGGGAGGGCACAGTAATAAATTTACAGGAATTCTGTTTTATTCTTGCCCACAAAATACCAGCAGAAGTCCTTGTAAAAAATATTTTTTTAATAAATATTTCAATACATATTTTAGAGGTTAGCTTACTACTATTTTTAAGTATTAGAAAACTCTAAACAGAATGTAAGTGGTAAAAGGTTCCCTTTAATTACTACTAGACTGAAATATGYGAGTATGTGATTGTTTGGATGTTTCAGTGCTGTTTTCTGGGAGAGTGGTGAAAACATTGGAGATCTAAAGGTGCAAGACATGGCTGTATGTTCAATATGTTGAATGATTGATATAGCTGTTGCCGTACTTTGTACCTGTACTGTTGAAAATAGAATGCAGCTGATATTTGCAGGAATAAATTTTTATGGTATAATTTAGAYGTTACATATCAGAATAAAATGTTTTTGTTCACTTTCACTGAGCTTTTCTCAGTAGTATTAGAAGATTAAGCTTGAGAATTCTTTTGCCTTCTTATTTTATTCAAAACAGTGCAATTATGCATCCCACACAAATAAGCWGTCTGCTATTCATACTTAACATCTAGAGGTGAAACTGCTCTCATTTGGATTCGTATGATTGAGCAACTGAAAGAAACTGTTATTGTCCAAGAATTCGTGCTGGACAGACTGGGTCTGCTTGTCTTTTTGAAAGTGAGACTGCCCTGTTGTGACTTTATATGATTTTTACATAATGATATGACTTTATACATACGTGATATGGCTTTATACATTTTAGTGCCCTGAAATATTATTTCTGTTTTCTTTTACTTGACTATTTCAATGTTTTGCATAGCAAACTGAATTCATCAACATTAAAATCTTAAAAGAGCTGTTACCATCACAGAACTGCTGCTGCAAACTGCCCAGGCAGCTCTTCGGCAGACAGGACCTGCCACAGCAGTTGTGACCTGCAGTGGTGCAGGCGCTGAATTTCCAGGCATGAGCCATGAAACCACTCATTCTGCTAGGGTTACTGAAGTAAATTAATTTTTTTTATAATTGCCTTGTAGGCTGGCACCATCAAACTTAGGTGACAATTGGGAAAAAACTGTAAAATTACTGTTAATATTTAGGTTTTGATCTATTTACTTAACCAGGATATATTTTGCATACCCTTTAACTATACTGAATCAGTGCATATTTTGAATTTATGAAGATGATGTTTTAAAACTTTGTATCTCCTGTATTTGTATCCCCTCACAGTTCCTAATTTTGCTCCTGTCACCAGGTAAATTGGAAACATTTAGAAGAGTAGTTGCCAGCTACATTTGTAGACAGGCTAAGGGGACCATCTCAACAAGCTCAGTTCATCTCTATTCACAGAAGTATATATATATATATATATATAAAAAAAGTAAAGTTGTCTTAAGCTGAAATGATTATTAAACTTCATAAAAAGTTAGGCTGTCTGGTTGGGTTTACTGCAAGAAAATCATCTGTAGATTTATATGCATACTGGGATTTTAGAATTGGTTCTACTTCGTGCAGACAGGCAATGTCAGTAGGTCATCTGCTTATTATAGAGAAATAGGGAACTGTTGCAGTTTGGAGATACTTAAAATGACAAGTAAAAAAATGCTATTCCAGTTAAAAATTATTCCAGTTACACACTGTTAGAAACTATTGCAGTTAGAAATGCACACTTTTTTTTTTCCACATAAATACACGTACACATTTCACAAATACATTTTGTTTTAAAGAATTAATACTTTATTACAGATATTTCAATTGACCTATGTATGCAAGCCAAATTTAACCAAATTGTACAATTGGTCTGACAAGTCATTGCTTGAAGCAGTCAAGGAAGAAATTAAGACATACTTTCAAAGTAATTCAGTATCCATTTTTGTGGAATAAGACAGTGATTCTGTGAGGTGGCCAGCATAGTGCATTTGCACGTAAATTGTAGTTCAGAGAAGAATTTAAAGTTATTTATCTGTGTTTAAAATTGATTTCTTTGAGGTGTATTATCTAAACGTATATTCTATAGTCGTAATCTCTGTATTTTCTTTCTGGAGACTCTGGGGACTGGGGACTTTCTGGAGACTCTGGGGACTTTATGGCTGCAAAAAAAAAAAAAAAAAGGAAAAAAAAGAAAATGTTGCTCTAATTTTTTATATCTTCATAATAAAACAAGAGCATTCTCGCGATGCCTTCCTAATATGTGGGGACCACTGGCAAAAATTTTTCTCTTTGAGGAGGTGGAAAGGAATGCATCATTATGGAGATGTGTACATGTATAATATATTTTGAAAAAAAAAGTCACAGAGGAACCATTTTCACTGGAATTTTAGCTACTTGGTGGTGTGCAAAAAAGATTTGGAGAGAGACATTCTTGTTGATTATATAAATTAGGTGGATTTCACCCTGAATCCSAGAATGGTTGAGGTTGGGAGGGAYTCTAGAGATCATCTAGATTGTTGCTCCAACAGGGACACGCAGAGCACGAGACACAGGGTGGTGTCCAGGCGGGTTTGGAAGATCTCCAGAGGAAGCTCCACAACTTCCCTGGGCAGCCTGTTCCAGGGCTCTGTCACCTTCACAATGAAGAAGTTCTTGCTGACATGCAAATGGAACTGCCTGTGTTTCAGCTTGCATCCATTACCCCTTGTCCTATCACTGACTACCACCAAGAAGAGTTTGGCTCCATCCTGTTTACATTCTCCCCTCCTATGTTTGTGCATGTTGATAAGATCGTTGCATAAGAGTTTGTAAAGATGTTATCTTTTCTGTAAAGAGGCAATATAAGGTGTACCACTTGTGCTTATTTCTAAGTGCTATAACACGTACACATTCCCTCTGCAGTTATTCTATTAACCATTTTACTGTGAATCAACATTGAATTGGTCATGTAACTTGATCATAATTTTTATAGTAGCTAACCAAGTTTCTGGTGGAATACTCAACCAAAAATGTTTCACTATTGATATCATGATGTAATATTCTAGGGAATAGATTTTGAAAGCTAGACTTCCCAGACTTTAGACTTCTGCRTAATCCCAGAAGATTATGCAAAGGTTATGGGAGGTTTACAGGGTTTTTTCCAACAAAGTAAAGCAACTTTGGAGACTACACTCCACCTTATATCAGGATATTGACTATTACCAAAAATGGCAAACCAAAGAGGCTCTTTTTTTTTTTTAATCTGAAGAGAATACCTTAAAAATATAGAAAAAAAAAAAAATAGAATCCAGCTCTTTCACTGCTGAGAAAATCCAATTCTAATCCACAGTTACACAATATTTCCGCATTTTTAATCTATTCCAGACTCTGCAGGGTCTCTCTCAGCCACATATCTGCTCCTCGGTACTACTTTTCTTCCAAATTGCTTGATGTGAACCTGATTTGCAAGAACTGACTCATTTTGATGAAAAGTAGGCGTGATTTCATTGCTCTTAGTTATGTCATATCCAGTTCAAAATAATTAAAAGTGAGAGAAGAATTAGGCCCGCCTGTCTTTAGCAATGTCTGATTTAGGGGATGTTCCCAGGGAAGTTGTTAGTCATCAACGAGAGGGAAGCTGGCTGCCCTTTCCCGGAGCTTTTGCAAACGCGCCAGGGTGCAGCCTAGGTGCTAGGAAGGAAACCACCATCTCTTTGCAGAATAACAGTTGGATGCTCCGGGGCTGCCGGGAATGGAGTGAGAACAAAAGCTGCAGTGAACCAGAAAGGAGAGCAGAGCAGGATTTTAGTTTTTAAACTTCAACCTTTGTGCTAAGATTGTCTACAGATCTGTGAATTGCAGGCAGATTTATTTRGAAATCTCTGCCCTTTCAGTTAACTTGTTAAAATAAACATTACGTATCTACACATAAGTATAAGGTATGGTTTTATTTTAGTATAATGTTTTGGACTGAAGAAATAATACACCAGATACTTTTGCATTCTGTATCCTGCCTCGTAAAGAAAATGCCAAGGTTTATAAATGCCCTACAGCCAGTTAGTTTTGCTCGATTTTATCTCCCTATCCTTTCACCTGATAAACAATCATGAAAAACGCCTTGCCAGTATGTGAGCCAATTGCAAGTTGTATTACTGGGCTCATCTTCAAAATCAGAAGTTACAAACTAGATACTAAAAAGTGTTAAATCTCTATTAAAAATAATTCCTTGTGTAACTGACATCAGAAGAGATTCCCTTCTTTTTTTTCCTCCCATTTTTCTCGCGCTTTCTGGCCCCTCTCTCCCCTCGCCGAAGGACACTGGACTCGGGGCGCCTCAGGAGGAGGAGGGGCTTGGTGAAGGGGCGGGGCTTGGGGCACCCGGGGGCGGGGCTTGACGGAGGGGCGGGGCTTGCGGGGAGGGCACGCACACGCGCCACCACCTCCCCCGCCCCTCCCCTGACAGGCTCCCGCCCCGCGCGGTCTCGCTGCGCCCCCCCCGCCCGGCCACCGCTTTCGCGCTGGGGCGCCGCAGCCCGGGCTGCCGCCAGCCGCTCCTCGCCGGGGCGGCAGCCCCGCCGGCAGCGCGCAGAGTAGCACCAGCACCAGCAGCAGCGGGAGGGCCGAGGCAAGGCGAGGTGAGGTGGTGCGGTGCGATGCCCGCCGCGGCGCGGAGCAGGGCGCTGCAGGGCAGCCTGTCAGAGCTGGCCGAGGTCGCCGGGCGCCCGCGGGCGGCGGGGCTGGCGGCGCCTGGCACGCAGGCAGCGAGCGGCGCCCGCGCCGAGGCTGCCCACAGAGGTTGCATTGTGCGTCGGGAGAGCCCCCCCTTCCTTCCCTCCC